CACGGTAGTCCAAAAAACTAAGTCCGCATACTGATATAATTTGGGAGACTGACCTTTAATATGGTTATACAAAAATTCTGATGTGCCTGGAAGCTCTATTTTGAGCGAAAAAAGAGAAATTTTTGAGTCGCCCGTCAAACTCAGCAAAGACTGACACCATCCCTCTCTTTTCTTTTTTTCCCTTCCTAAAATTAACATTTGTATGTAACTGTACTACTACTAGTCTATTCATATAAGCAAATTTCCCCGAGCTAGTTGTAAAGTCTGGTTTGATTGATGCAAGTTGTTCAAGGGGGTATTTAAAACATGGACGCGTAAAATGGGTACACCAATTTTTGTGGAAAAACTTTTAGATCGACAACAAAGAATGAGAAAACGCGTTTTTTAGGATTCAATCGAAAGGGGGCAGTTTGGCAGGAACCAAAAAATTCTTCAAATAAGATTTTTAGGTATTTATGAGACCTACATAATGAGACTACACGTAAAAAGGTGCGACTAATAGTAAAAAAGCCGAAAACCAAGACATAATGCAGGTCATGGCTCTAGTTGCTAATGCGACGATAAAATCTCGCAGCTGCTTGAAGTCCGTATGCTCCATACTCCTAAATAACCACAACAAAATTGGAGGCGATTGGTCAAGTAGCTACTAGTTTACTGAGCAATACACAGGTTTCGTTCAAAGGGCATTGTATAGCGGAATACACGAGTTTACCCTGCCGACATGAAGCACGAACCATTCCAGTTACTTTTATGCGAAAAACGAAGGGGATGAGTAATTAGAAGTTCTCAAAAACTACTAGACCAATCGACTTCAATTTTTGTTGTCGTTATTTACTATCTAAACTATCGTCGCATTACCAACAAGTGCGAAAACCTGCATCTTGCCTCGGTTTTCGGCCATAACTTTTTTACTATTAGTCGGACCTTTTTACGAGTGGTCTCACTCTATGGGTCTCATATACAGGGTGGCCTATCCATGTGTGCACGGAATGTTACTCATAAACAAATACATTCTGGGAAAATCTATTTATGGGATGTTATACACGACATTTGAGGGCACGTTTCTGAAATATTGGCCATTATACAGGGTGTCCCAATTTCGACCTACATATCAAAGTTGTGATTGTTTAAATGGAATGCCTCAAATTTTATTGCACATTTGGATAAACAAGTTCAAAAGACGAAAATTATAACATACTATGGGGTTTTGGTAATTAGCTACTGAGATATAAGGGGGTTTGTCTAGAAAAACCCCCCACTTCGGCAAACCCTCAGTCCGCCATTTTGAAATTTGAAGTGCTGAATTTTGTACCAAAAAAACATATACACCTCAGCTTTTGTCTTATTTGTTACTTTTTCGAATTTTAATTTTTGCTCATACAGGGTGGTCAAAAAAGCAAATTGTAGTTTCTCTCAAAAATTTCAAATACACCACCCTGTATATTTATGTAAGTTTAGATTCAATTTTTTGATTTGATTTGATACTAGACACATAAGAGTTTTGACGGCTATTTTTTCGGTTATTAGCACGTCTTTTATGGAAACAAATAAATTGTTGATTAGTTAAAAACTGTCAAAATTAGCTTTGTGAGAATTATCATTAAAAACGTGTTTGAAAATGAATTTTTCTAAAGAAGAAATGGTGAATATGATGTTCGTTTTGGGCGAAGCCCAATGAAATAGTTTCCTAGCATCTCGCATTATATCTTGGCCTATATCTTGGCCTCCTGGATCACCAGATATGACACCGATAGACTTCTTTCTGTGGGGCTACGTTAAGCAAGAGGTTTATAGATATCCACCATCTACCTCGGAAAATCTGAAGGAAAGGATTAAGGATGCTTTTCTGAACATAAGGGAACACATGCTGAGGGATGTGCAACGGTCATTTATTTATCCAAAGACTACGGCTGTGTATTCAACATGGTGGAGATATTTTCGAGCAGTTTTTGTAGATTAGGTCTTGAGTAGTGATAGTTGTTTGTTTATGTTGTTGTTATAGTTGTCTTTCTCTATTACGCTTGAAGCTGAATACTGTTCCGATTGTTATTAGTTTTTACGTCAAATCTGTACTCTTAGTGGCAATATGGAACTAGCCTACTGTTTGTCTTTTGTTTCCATGGATGATGTGATTTTTTTCCTTAATTTTTGTGTGTTGCTCTATTAAAAGTTTAATAACTCAAAATCTAGTGATTTTATCTGAATCAAACCTTATACAAAAAAAAGCTTATAGAAGATTGAATCCAAACTTGCACAAATATACAGGGTGATGCATTTGAAATTTTTGAGAAAAAGTACAATTCGCGTTTTTGACCACCCTGTATGAACTAAAATGAAAATTCGAAAATTAACAAATAAGATAAAAGCTGGGGTGTGTAAGTTTTTTTTGATATAAAATTCAGCACCCCAAATTTCAAAATGGCGGATTGAGGGGTTGTCGAAGTGGACGGTTTTTCTGGACAAAACACCTTACATCTGAGTAGCTAATTACCAAAACTCCATAGTATGTTATATCAATCTTCTTCTTTTGAATTGTTTTATCCAAATATGTAATAAAATTCGAGACATTCCATTTAAAAAATCACAACTTTGATATGTAGGTTAAAATTAATTAGAAATGTGTCCTCAAATGTCGTGTATTACATGCCATCAATAGATTTTTCCAAAATGTATTTGTTTATCGGTAATATTCCGTCCACTCATGGATGGGCCACCCTGTATACCTCAAAATCTTATTTGAAGTTTTTTGTTCGTTACTGCTAACACTTTCGATTGAATCCTAAAGACACATTTTGTCATTCTTTGTTGTCGAATAAAAAGTTTTCCTACAAAAGTTGCTGTACCCATTTTATGCGTCCACGATTTAAATACCCCCTTGAACAACTTGCATCAATAAAACCAAACTTTACAATTATTCCGCAAACCAGGGGTATTTTCGTCTAATATGATTAGACTATACGTTTCCTGCAAGATAGAACAACGGTCACGTTTGATTTCAATGATTTCTTTGTCGTTTTGGTATGGATTTTGCTTAAATTAATTTTTAAAAAGCTTCAATAATGAATTTTAACAATGATCAGTTTTCCATATTGGGACTATGTTTTCTTCTGTTATTGAGATTGTTTGTACTCAAATAGGATTTCAACGCTGTAAGTAGTATTCTTTATTAATATTGTAACGGATTTGATATTTTTGCAGCATTTTCTGAAGAAGAAAATAAAAATTTTCGAAAGCTACGTATGAACACAGCACAAACTTTCTTCCTGGCCTTCTGATTTTCGAACGCGTTACGGCTAAGACCTCAAGCTGAAAGATGAGACAGTGAAAAAGTTAAAAAAATAATGTAAAAGTACGCATCAGAAATTTCAAGTACAGTTGTACAGTGTGTAAGTCTTGTTCAAAGTTGTCTGCGATAGATTCTCCTACGTAGCCAAACATCAACTTAGGCTTTTAGAATGGACTGCCTGCCCTTAATGAATACAGCAGGTTTCTAAATTCGCATACGTAGTTCGTCAATCGTTTGCATCTCAGTTTTGTACACATTTCATTTCACCCGAAACAAAATTAGAAATTATGAGGGATGTTGAAAGATGATCTGCATACACTCGCGAGGCCTCGGTAGCATTTCGAAGACCGTAAATTAAAATAATGTGGACAACTCCGATATTGCTGTGTGTGCCATTTTTTTTGTCTTTTTAGGTCCGATGTGTAAAGGTTTTGTTTACCAACAAGCCCAGCGCCTGGATTAAGTACTGATGCGCATCGTACATGTTCACGTTTGATCGGATGGAGGTGCAGGAGCGGTTTAGGTTTTGTATAGATTTGATTTATCTTATCTTGACTAACATCTCGGTAACATTAATACTGTGATGTATATGTCACAGAAAAAACTGCTCGTTTTTCCAAGATATATACACCGTATGAAGTCCGAACTTTGGGGACACCTTGTATACTTCTTAGCCTGTTGGCAATTTTCTACAATTTCCATAAATTAACCACCAAGAAACAAAAACATTTATCTAACCTCATCATCATTAAGTGCATCGTATGGTTAGAGCGTCCTTCCTAGTCGTAACGAGTTTGAAATAAGATGCAGATGTGAGTCACCCGATTTGTTATACCTGCACAAAACGCGAGATAACCCGTAGATTTATTGGAGAGCTCGTAAAGCTTGTAGGTTAGGAAATTAGAAAGGCGACTCGACTGGTCCGGCTAGATTCTCACACGCCCGGCCATTCAAGGAGAATTCTCCTACGCTATGATGCCTTCTACAGCAAAATAATGGCTCGGTGTGTGTGAGAAGTTGATGAGATTCACGCCAATGATTGGTGGACGATATATACACGTATATGTCTGAAACCTATAATTGATTTCAAATTAGTGACTACACAGTCACATGAAAAGGTAGGTTGATTTTATATTTATTTTAAATTATCAACCAGTGAAACAAACAACGGCGTCAATAAGATTGAAGCTGTAATTCCTACGCAACGCTGGTATCAATCCATAAAGTCACAACTTAGTTCCTCTTAGAAAAAAGATAGCTAGGAACATGTATAACAAAATAATTAAACGGATCGTGTCAGTCTATCAGGCTGATACAAGATTTTACAACAATGCAATCTAGCCTACCACCCTACCGACGTTACCGACAATACGTGAACGTGGCAATCCAGCCCGCCGTTGACAATACGGATACACGTATCATCATTCAAAATTGTTCAGCATTCAATGCACTGAAGACACACGTTCGCTTTCCAGCGCACGTATATCGAAAATAATAAATAAATAAATTTTTAAAGGCAAATGTACGGGAAAACCTATGATGCATGAAATATGTCTATTAATAATAATTCTAATATACTAAGTGACATATAAATCCGAACACCCAGTTCAAATGGTTTTATTTTAATAAAATTTTGTATAAGTACCTAATGAAGCATAATAAGTAAATGATAAAAATTTCAAAATGATTGCACTGCTTTAAAGCCCTTTGACCTTTAATAATGTGTGGATGCACCCTGATGTGCTACGCATTCTCCAATGCGCCTAGGCATGCTTCTGATCAGGTGTTCAATGTCCTCCTGTGGTATCTCATTCCAGGCAACCACCAACTCCTCTCGAAGTGCTTCTAGAGTCTGAGGAGGACGTTGCAAATTGAGCAATCTCCTACCCATCATATACCACACATGCTCAATTGGGGATAAGTCGGGAGATCTTGGTGGCCATGGTAACAATGTGACATCATTATGTTGAAAGAAGTCTATTACCTCGGATAAAGATTAAAGGTGACCTGGAACCATAAGCTATAGCACCCCAAACCATAACTCCAACACGTCTTTCAACAAAAAACTGTGGATTCCTCCTTTCACCACGTCGCCTTCTAACCCTGGCACGACCATCGTGCATGCCTAAACAAAATCGAGACTCGTCACTAAAGGCAATACTGTTCCATTCCTGATCCCAGAGTGACCGTTGTCTGCACCACTCAAGGCGATTACGTCGGTGTTCTCGAGTTAAATGGAGGACCCAGTGTGGCCGGTATGAAAACAAGCCAAAACTTCTCATTCGTCGGTAAACACTTCGCATGCCAATAGGTCTTCCGTGTTCTGCAAACCATTCATTTGCAATGGACCTGGTAGTGGAGAAACGGCCCCTTAAGGCCAATAAAATCTTAGGCGGCGATCTTCACGGTCTGTTGTTCTACGGCGGCGTCCCGTGCCCCTTGCTCTTTGCGTACGGCCTTCTCGAAGCCATGCTTGACAACACCTAACCACAGTGTGTACACTTCTTTGCACTCTAACTGCAATTGCCCGAAAAGAAGGTCCAGCTTCCCGAAGTCCCACTATACGGCCCCTATCAAACTCACTAAGTTGACGAAATCGTACAGGTCTCCGTACTCTAGGCATCGTAACCGATCGTAAAGGATGTCAAGAACCAAAATCCGCCAACGTTGATTCTTTACTGCGGCTGAAATATTCATTTTTAGAGCGTTAGTGAATTAAAAAAAAGCAGTATAAAAACCGGAATGTCCAACTGATAAGGCTGAAAATTTTTGCACTTGTTATTTACAGTAAAATAAATACATTCACCAACATTTATTAAAATAAAACCATATAAACTGGTTGTTCGGATTTATATGGCACTTAGTATATTTATTGGTCTAACTACAAAGTGTTCGCATAAATAACAACGGTAGTGGCCAATAAACATAAGATACCCAAAAAAGCATGTACTTATGACTTACTTCAAATTCAAACGTTGTATAGCCACGAAAACATACAAACGGTTGATAATTTTAAATATTTAGGGGTATTCATATGTAGTTCACGATCTAAGATGGAATATACACGTTGAAAATTTAATAAGAAAATTAAGATCAAACATTTTTTGAGCAAAAAAATATCTTCATATTATACGTATATTATGCCCTTGATCAATCACTACTACCTAATGGAATGTTAGCATGAGAGGGAATAATGAAAAATTGTTATAAAAAATTTAAACTACACTGAAGAAGATTTTGAAGGTTGAAAAAATCCAAAATTGTTATACTCAATTAGCCGCAACTATCAAACTCAAGCTCAAAATTTTATAATGATATTCCTGCAAAACTACATATAAAGTGTAAAAAACGTTTAAAAATTTAACTGAAGTTATGGATCTTAAATCAACCAAGGCTAAAAATCCATACGTATGTAGACATTAAAAGTCAATATATTATTTGACTAAATTGATGCAATTTTATACATTTGACTAGTATACTTATAAGAAATTTGTTGTATTCATTACAATTTTGACAAAATATTCATCCAAAATTGAAATGAAAATTACAATTTAAAGCACAAACATGCGTGTATAAATTAAAAAAAGATAAAAGATTTATATGATATTCAGACATGTGAGGAATAGTCTAATCATATTAGATGAAAATACCCCTTGTTTGGAAATAATGGAAATAAGTCTGGTTTTATTGCTGCAAGTTGTTCAAGGGTGTATTCAAAATATGGACGCATAAAATGGGTACACTAATTTTTGTGGCAAAACTTTTCATTCCACAACAAAGAATGAGAAAACGTGTTTTTTGGGATTCAATCGAAATTTGGCGGGAACGAAAAAACTCTTAACATAAGATTTTTAGGTATTTATGAGACCTCCAAAATGAGGCCACACGTGAAAAGATCCGACTAATAGCAAGCATGTTATGGCCGAAAAACGAGGCAAAATGCAGGTTTTGGCACTTGATGGTGAATCGAAGATAATTTCACGCAACTACTTGAACTTCTTCAAATTCGTAGGATTCATACTTCTAAATAACAACAAAGTTGGAGTATATTGGTTCAGTATTTTTTGAGAATTTCTAATTGTGTATCCCAAAACACCTGTTTTCCGGCCTCCACTACTAGTTTCTGTCAACACTTTCGATTGAATCCCAAAAAACACGTTTTCTCATTTTTTGTTGTCGAATAAAGAATTTTCAGACAAATATTTTTGTACCCATTTTATGCGTCCATATTTTAAATACACCCGTGAAAAACTTGCACCAATAAGACCAGACTTTACAGATATGTCTGGGAAATTTGCTAATATGATTAGACCAGAAATAGAGTATGGTAAATATGGTTATGTTAAATACCTCAAATATATTCTAACAGAGAAATATCTCTATACTTTATATCTTTGTTCGAATCACATTTAACCCAAGGTATATTGGCATGGGGAGCTATATGCTTAACTCATATTTATGATTTAGAAGCCCTGCAAAAAATAATACTAAAAACAATTAAACATTTAAAAAAACAAAATTACATTCAACTGATGTTACAAAGATATACACGAATATAACATAAGACAACTTTATCTCTTACATGCTATCATTAACTATCACAAATTTACTGGGAGCGATCAGAACATCAAACACAGTCATCATATAAGACATCAACTACGAGGAACCGTTGTGCCTAGACCTAAGAAAGCTATAACACAGCAATCATACCTGTATTTATGTTCAAAATTATACGTAAATTTACCTGACAATATAAAGAACCTAGACTTTTGGGAACAATTTCAAAAACAAATTAAAATAATGGATGTTTTTTTAGCAAGGCCAGACATACACAAATTAATAATTAATATGAACATCAAATAAGTTGATTAGTGGTATCATTATTTGTTATTTAATTATACGCACAATTGCAAAACTAATGGTCCATGTACAGGCAATGCCTCCTATGGACCCTTCTTCCATAATAATTATTTACTCATTTTTCATATTGTGTTTAAGGAGTCAATATTATTATTATTATAGCATAATACGAGGGATGTCTTTTAAGTTTTGCATATGGAAATAAAACAACACGGTAGGTAGTTTTAAATGGCTTTATTGTTTTTCGAAGTATTCTCCACGAATATTAATACACGAACCAATTTTCGAAGCACTTATTCCACTCGTTTGCTGGCAGATTCAAAACGGCATTTTTGAATGCGTCAACTGCTTCTTCTGGTGACTGGAACCTTTGACCACGCAGTCTGTTTTTTATTTTCGGGAAAGTAAAGAAATCATTAGGACTTAGATCGGGACTATATGGAGGATGGTCCAATAATTCCACGTTTTCTTCCGTTAAATACTGCCCTGTCTTTTGGGCTATGTGCGAGCTTGCATTGTCTTGGTGGAGGATGATTCTTCTTTCGGGGTTGATTTTTCGAAGCTCGGTGATGACTTTTGGCAAACGAATGGTGGTATACCAATCCGCAATAACAGTTCTTTGATCATTAACTGCACGTATTGTTGAGAAACTTTGAATTTAAGTTTACTAAAGAGTGAGGTTAAGATTCAGTACTGACGTTCGATCCGCGTGGCCTACTATGTTTCTATATGCAACACTTAAAAGACATCCCTCGTAAATGAAATTTGTACAGTTTCGCAATATTCCATCAATTAGGTGCGTAGAATTAACGGGGTCCCAGCATAGAATTTTTAACCTCTGTAAATTTTGCTAATGATCAGGATCTTCCGAAACGTCAAAAAACGAAGTTCGAGCGATTTTTAATTTTTACCGTTTTCGGCCGTTTTTCTCCGCTGATGCTGCACCGATTTTCAAAAGCTACAATCATCCTTGGTATAGTAGTAAAAATTTCATAATTGCGATCCACTCAAAAGTTGAATCATTTTAATTCCGAAAAACCCTTGTATGAACATTAATCCTTTTTGGTATCGGCCACTCGCACAGCGAAAGTTTTTAAAGTTTCTCCTGGATCTTTCTGTCATATAGTGACAAAAGTTTTTTCGCACATGAGTAGGAAGTGTCTCTGTCGATGCCAAATGACCAGAACTCTTTCCAGCAAACATATAATCGACAGTATGCCCTTGAAAATAATATAAATAGGTAGGTAGGCATGAAGCTTGACCCGAAACCCACAATACAAACACCACATACCTCTTATGCCTTTTACCTGTTCATACCCTCTTCAAAAGTTCGGTCCAGGTAGATGATTATACCTTTAAAAATTCCAATGTTAAGAGACCATAACACGAGGTGTACAATTAACCACACGTTACGTAACTATGTTTACATACATAAGTAATGCGATTACTGCTAAAACCTGCAAACGTAAAAAATATAAAAATCATGTGGAACAAAAGATTAATGGCCCTTGTCAGGTACATACAAACGTACCGAAATTGCGCAACTGAAGATATACGCGTAGTTATGAAGAGAAAATATACTTTTGTCCAAACGAGGTTAGAATAATATCGTTTAGCAAATCTTTGCCGCATAGCAGGGGAAAAGACTACGCCTTATATGAAGTAATTGTGAATTTACAGCCTGTACATCTCTGTGTATTTCTTGAGAATAGAAAACGATGTTTATCTTTTGGAAACAAGGTCAGAGTGTGTTGAACATTGTTAACATCAGAAGAGAATGCGTGCTTATGTTTAGACTGAAAATAAGGATTTTTACAAAGCGTAGAATCTTTTATTCTTGATCAATATACCCCAGGCAAAATATAGATATAAGGCATGCAAAAGCTCTCATAAACTGAAAATTGGTACGGGGTGTCCCACTATAAATTGACCCACTTGATTTTATCGAATTACCGTTCACGGAAAATAGTTATCAAATAACGTATTTTTTTGATGAAACACTGAGTAATTTTAGTATTGTGATTCCAAATATTTTTTTTTTTTCGTTTTTTCCTGCAGCCTCTGTATCGATTTCATCCATGGCGTGGGAAGTAAAACGCCAATAAAGCAACCCAATTTATTCTTCTGTATTTTTTTTAACTTGAATGTTCCTGTCGAAATACTTAGAGGAACTGGTCCAAATATGGAACATGCACAGAATATGGGCCGCCATTTGTTTGCCGAAACAAGTGGCTCCATCTATTAACTAGATCTCTGACTACCTTCTACTTTCCTTATAAAGCATTCTAGAACACACTATCAGTTAACCGGTGTTTGCCGCGCAGAAATTTAGAATAGGTTAGGTTTATATCCGTCCGAAAATTTCAATCGTAAGTATAATGTTGATTGTTTTGTTAGGTGTTATACATATTTTCTGATGAGTGCATATTGTGTAATGTTACTTAAAGCTTGAGTATATCATTCCTGAAGAACTCCATTGATATTGTAAGGCTTGATAATGATTTTGACTAAGTAAACATCCCACATGTGATTCGTGAAATATGGGCCCCTATGACTCTTGAAATATGGTCAGGGGCCCGTATTGGGACCACAGTTCAGTAATGCATTTTTGTTTGCAGAATCATGGGGATTGAGAGGAAATATCTTAAGAAGAATCAGTGAAAGCTGTGGAAAAAGGAAGATATGATATCAGCATTAGAAGCTGTTTTAGATAAAACAAAGGGACTGAAAAAGGCGGCTAAACAGTTCAATGTTCCCAGGACCACCCTCCAAAGACTACTGCACCAATGCAAAGATGGTATCGAACCTGTTGAAGCTGTAAATAGAAAATTAGGAAGAAAACCAGTGTTAGGAGGTAGTATAGAGACTGAATTAGTAAAATATATTTTGGAAATGGAGAGGTTGTATTATGGACTGACCAAGAAGGATATTTATTGTAGTATGGCATACACTCTAGCTGACAGAAATGGTATTCGGCATCCTTTTAAAAATTACACCGCAGGCCGGAGCTGGATTGATTCATTTTTGAAGCGTCACGGGGCAGTTTTGTCAGTTCGCAGACCAACTGGAACTTCGTTTGCTAGAGCACTTGGATTGAATAAAGAAAACGTGCAAGATTTTTTCAGGAACCTGGAAATAGAATATTCAAATCATAACTTTGGACCGCATCAAATATTCAACGTAGATGAGACTGGTCTTACCGTGGTTCAAATCAAGATTCCAAAGATTGTGGGACGGAAGGGCAAGAGGCAAATAGCTGCATTAACGTCTGCAGGGCGCGGTTCTCTCGTCACAGTAATTAGCGCTATGTCTGCTGGAGGTCAGTTTGTTCCTCCCATATTAATCTTTCCTAGGAAAAACAGGAATGAACAACTTATGCGTGGGGCTCCAGCTGGATCTATCTATGCAGTACATCCTAGCGGGTGGGTTCAGCTAAATCTTTTTACTGAATGGTTCCAGCATTTTCTGGCATTTGTTAAGCCCAGTAAGAATTCCCCAGTTCTCTTTATACTCGATGGACACTATAGCCACACTCGCAACATAGACGTTATAAACTTGGCGAGGGAAAATCATGTTGTTATCATTTCTTTGCCGCCCCACTCTACCCACAAACTTCAACCTCTTGATAAAACTTTTATGGGGGTTTTAAAAACGTATTATAGTGAAAAAGTTCGTCTTTGGTTAAGAGCTAATCAACGACCATTAACGCAGTTTGTTTTGGCAGAGCTACTTGGCAAAGCATATGTTAAAAGCCAAACAGCTGAAATTGCAATTAATGGTTATAGAGTCACTGGTATCTGGCCTTTTAAGAAGGATATATTTAATGATGCTGATTTTATTGAAGAAAAGGAAAACGCAGCAAAGAATTGCAGCTTAAGTTTTTGTGAAGCAGACGTTCAGGACAGTAACGTTGACTTATCAGCTGTACACTCCGACAAAGAACTTTCAACTAGAAGTTTGAATGTTTATGACTGCCAACCAGGATGCTCAAGAGATACAGAACCAAAACTCGGATATTTGAACACATTGAATCTCCCCATTAGATGTTCAAATGAACCTGCAACAAACAGAGACAGCTTTATTTCTCCATTTGATATAGCTCCACTGCCAGTCATTAAGAAACAAACAACCACACGAGGCAGAAAGTCTGGAAAATCTCAAATTATAACTTCATCGCCATATAAACAAGAACTGGAGAAATCATGTGAAAAACAGAAAAAGACTGTAGAAAAATGAAAAGGACGTGTTTTTCCAGCTCCAACACAACCAAATAAAAAGACAAGGAAACAAGAAAGAAAGAGATCTGAGACCTCTGAGAGTGACTCAGAACCAGACGAAGACTTTATACCAGCTGATGACGATAATGATTTGGAAAATGTCGATCAAATTCCCGAAGACAAAGATGCAGAGTACATTTTCTGCCAGGGTGAATTTTCAAATGATGTTAGAGGGGAGCTGTGGATTCAATGCATGTTATGCCAATTATGGGCTCATGAGGAGTGCTCTGGTGCAGAAAAAGATTGTTACGTTTGCGACTTCTGCAAATAAATATTTTAATTATTGTATTCAATGTATTTTAAGTTAATAAAATAATGAGCATATTTCAATATTACTATATCAATAATGTCAAACTCAAATAAATATGATATTTTTTAGATTCAATTAGTAGTTTCCTACGGGGCCCATATTGTACACAGTCTGGTTGATATAGCTGAAACTGCAATCTTTCGCGTTATCCATAATTAATGCTATCTATAATACCTTTACAGAAATAACAATTTAGTTTTATGTTATATTGAGATCAGTGAAAATTACTATCAAAAAAAGACCTAAATTGGTGGATCGCAGACAAAATTATTTGTTGAAATAAAAATGGTGTTCCATATTTAGACCAGTTCCTCTATAAATGTAGGATTTTACTTTCCACGCCTACTGACGGAGGAAGTATTGTAATCACGGAAAATTTCTAAAACAAGATGTTATGTTTTTTGGGTGTCATATGACCTGTATATCACAAAAAAATCATGTCAGTAATTTCCGTCTCTCTGTCTGTTGGTCGTCTAATTCTTTACCCCGGTATAACTTGAACAGTACCGGTTGGATTTTGATGAACTTTTCACAAGGTTACTAGTATACTAAGAAGATAGAGTTATCTGTACATGTACCCTTGAAGCTTGGAACACTTGAGAAATGCTTTCGGTCCTGCTTCTGCTATCTAGGATCACCGGCGGGCGTGCCGGGCTTGGTGGGTGTTCTGGCATTACTGTGCGGTCAGATATCAGACTACTGGTAGGGCAGGAAAAGAATATCTATGGACTAACTGCATGGTCAAGTAGATTCAATCTACACTGACTTTTCAAAAGCTTTTGGTAGAATTTTGTAAATCTTACTTACGCAGGAGATCACAGTATGTATACTATTATGGGTACAGTTCTAAGACAAATAGTGTAAACTCAGGTGTTCCGCAAGGATCAAACTTCGGCCCACTACCATTTGATGTTCATTAATGATTTGGATGGTATAATTGAAACCCGAAAATTGTTTTATGCAGACGATCTTAAGGTATATTGTGAAATAACTGCTATAGAATGTTGCAAAGTGGACAAAAGTCACAATGATGGTATTTTTTGGAGTGTCAATTAGGCAAAAGAGATCTAGGAATATTATTCAATTCGAAAATTTCATTAATAATATTGATAACAAAATTGCTCAGGCGTACGAAATGTATGGATTTATCATTAGAAATCGTCGATCGTTTAACAGTGAAGCAGAATTGAAATGTCTATTTTTTCTATCTACTCTTCGCATGTCTGCAACCCATACTATCATTGTCACAAGGAAAGACTGGATAAACTACAAAAGCACCACATATATCCAGAACAAGGAACTGAGTATGATCTTTTGTTAAACCTTTTTGACATTGACAGTTTGGAGTTTCGACAGACACGATCATTCCTTTAATTCCTTTACAAATTGATGTATGATATTAACGATTGTCTAAATATTTTACCGCGTATTAAATT